CACACACACACACACACACACACACACACACACACACACACACACACGGAAATAGTTATATTTTGAGGTGACTATGACTAAAACCACTATTGAGAGAGCTGCTCAATAGTGTAGAGGGGAGGAAACAATCTGAAAAACCTGCTGCTGTGCTTTGACATGAATACTGGTCTTGGGGAGCATGTGTGTTAATTATTTTTAACTTAGACATTTCAATGCACTGACTGCAGTCTTCTGTGTGATAGCATTATAATTGTGACAGTGCATGTATTAATTTTAATTGAATATTTAATTTTTATAAAATAAATATGAATACAGGATAAATTCCTGTAAAATAGTGGTTACTGAAGTGAGTGTTCTGTATAAACGTTAGTTCCCAAATGGAACAGCAATAAATATCATTGAGCTTTTTATGCAAACTCTTCCTTTCTAAGTAGTTGAACGTATTCTACTTTTATAATTAGCCATAGAAACAGGTAACTTGTTTCTTCAGAAAAGAAACATGCTGTCTTCTTCTTTGTATTTCCCTTCTCCTTAAAAAAAAATATATACTACTTCTTACCTCATACTGAATCCCTTTGAGAGTTGGTGTTCTACAGTAGGTGTTATGTCTTATTGATTTTACTAATGATGATAATGGACCCTTTCAAGCCCAGTTTAAACATACATGAACAGGATATATAATCCAGTTGGATGGTCTAAGTATACTAAACAGAATGATTATCATACATATTTTTATTATGTAAATTGTGGAATTGTTGAAAATTTAGCAGTACATACAAACGTTCATAAACAAAGACTTGGAAATATTTATAAAACGTATACATAACTTTTGCAAAATAAGTGAAGAGGTGTATTTCCTTCACCTGAGTCTTGTTTCTTTGGATTAAATTCACCACAAAGTCTAAAGCTTGCAGAAGGTCCCCAAACTATGTTTAAGTCCCATGTTAAGGACTAGATTGGGGTGTAAATGGTTGGGTGGGCCTTTGTAAGCCCTCTGTACTGAGGTAAATATAAGCATAAAACTTGTTTTTTGTTTTTTTTAATTTTGAAATTTCTTGTATGATTTGCTATTGTCTATTTAATGTGTTTGTTTTACTGTTAACTGCAGATATCTAATCTAAGCATTCCTGACAAATACAGAACTCGATTTTTATTTGTTTAGTCACATATGACAGACTATCCTACTGGTGTAAGGTGTACCATGAATAAATAGTCCAAGTAGAAACATCCCTATACCCTGCCAAAATAATCACACTTTGAATCAGAGAACTCCCCAATGGAGATTTCAGTTGAACTGTCTCTGGGGGTAATTGGAGAACTGACACGGTTTCTTAAGTCCATTATGATGATCAAATTTAAACATAATTTATATGCAATCTCATACTGGCTCCTTGAGTCAAAAAACTCACCCAGTATCTTCTATTTATAGTATTTAGCCAGATTGGGAAAATAATGACCACTTTGAGGTAATGAGCGAGTAATACAGTTCCTCTGTGGGATGGAGTAAGGCTATAAACATTCCTTATCAAAGCAGCTTAAAATGGCCAGGACCATACTTGAGCAGGGTTTTGAAGGAGATCATACTGTCACTAGCATCTTAGGCCGTGTCCACACTAGGAGTGCTTTACCAGTATAGGAATACTGTGTCAGTTAGGAGTCATACCTTTTCTTGCCCCTGACCAACATAGTTATGCGAGCAGAGAGATATAGTGTGGACCTTACCTTAGTGCAAGATTAATTATCAGTGGTTGGAGTCAACAAATGTTCTATTGGGAGCGCGAGGAAGGAGAGTGTGTGTGGGTGTTCAGGAACAGTAATAATCACTGAGATAGAAGGGGAGGTAGCTTAAAGCTAAATGAATTAAATAATTATGAATGCTTTTCTTATTCTTGCTGTTAGTGGCATTCAGCACATCTATTATAGTGGCGTGGCAGCGCAGCTATAGTTAAGGTTGCATCATGACATCTGTTTAAAGGTTGACATTTGGATTGGCAGTTTAAGAAAAATCTGTATTTTACTAGCCTGAGAGGTGGAGGCGTGGCTACTTCCTGATTCTGGGGCAGATTACTATGGTGTGTCCAAAGAGACACAGTGCGTAGGTTTGGATAGTGCCGTTACCTTGACCACTGAGAAAAAGAGAACTGTGTGCTCTGCCAGGGTTTTCAGTGTGTGGATTCTGGTTGATTCCTGGATCATGAGATTGCAGAAATTTGCTGGAGAGCAAGTTGCACACCATGCCCTGGGGATGTCTGATTTGGCTATGTGTGCAAATTGAGGGGAATAAATACAATTGCTAAATGACTACTAATTCCTGCCAATAATATATCTTTTCTGTTCAACAAACTAGGAAATTCAGTGGTAAAAATCCCATTAATGCAGAATTAAGGTTGCTTGGTGGTATATCATCCTCTTGCAGAATGTTAAGTTGAGCAAAACCAAAATTTCTGAATACCAGGAAATACACAGGCAAGGTTGTCCATGGCAAATTTAACTCTGCCCTGTTTCAGCGATGCCCTGATATGCCTTGTTAACACTAACACACACACACACACACCTTTAGTCTGCCAATCACACAGTTGCTGAAATGTAAAAGCTCTTCACCTCCTTTGACAAACCACTCACCCTCACCCACAGGATTCTGTCTAACACTATTAAAGGCCAAAAAGGGGGAAAAAGTTGCTCATGCCACCTTCCCTCTGTTCCCCTGGAGCTGGCGATAACCAATAGGAATTATTTGCAAACAGTCTAAGAGCAGTCAGTGCTTTAGATACACCTACACTAAACCCAGGCAGTAGTTGGGCCTGCTTGGAAAAGGTATGTTTGTGGTATGAGGACCTGTGTGGATTACTTTGAGGTGTGTGACAGATTATAATATGAAAAGATCTGTTTTTCACCCTCCAATGTGTGCGAGCAAAAGGAAGAGCTGCATGTGTACCTTCAGGATACATTATTTATCATTTCTACAAATACATTAGAAGCAAGAGGAAGGCCAAGGACAGGGTAGGCCTCTTACTCAATGAAGGGGGAAAAACAATAACTGAAAATTGGAAATGGCAGAGCTGCTTAATGACTTTTGTTTTGGTTGTCACCAAGAAGGTTGGTAGTGATTGGACGTCTAACATAGTGAATGCCAGTGAAAATGAGGTAGGATCAGAGGCTAAAATAGGGAAAGAACAAGTTAAAAATTACTTAAACATCTTCAAGAGCCTGATAAAATGCATCCTTAGAATACTCATGGAGCTGACTGAGGAGATATGAGCCATTAGTGATTATCTTCGAAAAGTCATGGAAGACGGGAGAGATTCCAGAAGACTGGAAAAGGGCAAATATAGTGCCAATCTATAAAAAGGGAAATAAGGACAACCCGGAGAATTACAGACCAATCAGCTTAACTTCTGTACCTGGAAAGATAATGGAGCACATAATCAATTTGCAAACATCTAGAAGATAATAAGGTGGTAAGTAACAGTCAGCCTGGATTTGACCAGAACAAATCTTGTCAAACCAACCTGATAGCTTTCTTTGACAGGGTAACAAGCCTTGTGGATGGGGAGAAGTGGTAGATGTGGTATATCTTGACTTTAGTAAAGCTTTAGATACTGTCTTGCATGACCTTTTCATA